TTAGTCAATCCGAAGGACATCACTAGGAATTCATAATGCCCATACCGGGTCCGAAAAGCTGTCTTAGGGATATCTAATGCCCTAATCTTTAACTTATGATACCCAGACCTCAAATCAATCTTAGAGAACAATGATGCTCCCTGTAACTGATCAAATAAGTCATCAATACGCGGAAGAGGATACTTATTCTTAACTGTTACCTTGTTCAACTGTCTGTAATCAATACACATTCTCATAGTCCCATCCTTCTTCTTCACAAACAATACAGGGGCACCCCAAGGTGATACACTAGGGCGAATAAAACCCTTACTCAATAAATCTTGCAACTGATCCTTTAATTCTTTCAACTCTGCTGGGGCCATACAATATGGAGGTATAGAAATAGGCTTAGTGCCTGGCTCCAAATCAATAGCAAAATCGATATCCCTATCGGGAGGAACACCTGGAAGATCAGAAGGGAATACATCGAGAAACTCCTGAACCACGGGAACAGAGTCCATGGAAGGTGGTTCAACACTAGTATCCCGAATAAAAGCTAAGTAAGACAAACACCCCCTCTCCACCAATCTCTGAGCACGGATAAAAGAGATGACCTTTCTAGGATAAGAACCACTAACACTCTTCCACTCAACCCTCGGAACACCAGGCATTGCTAAAGTCACAGTCTTAGCATTACAATCAAGGACAGCATGATAACGAGAAAGCCAATCCATACCCAAGATAACATCAAAGTTCATCATCCCCAGAATGATTAAGTCTACCCAAGTGTCATACCCAGCCAAAGAAACAAGACAGGATCGATACACTCGATCCACCACTAAGGGCTTACCCACGGGTGTAGAAACACGAATAGGTACAGTCATGCTATCACATATCATATCAAATTTAGTAGCAAAATACGTAGACACATAAGAGAATGTAGAACCTGGATCAAACAACACAAACGCAGGTCGATGACATACTGGGATGATACCTGTAATAACAGCATCGGAGGTCTCCGCCTCAGGTCTCCCGGGGAAAGCATAGCAGTGGCCTCCTCGTCCACCTCCATCCTGGGTGGTACCTCTACCCCCACTCTGTTGAGCTGCAACACCACTACTAGAAACTCTATCACCTCTACCTGACTGAACTCTGCCACGACCTCTACCCTGTGGTGCTGGTGGTCTAGTCTGGAATGAAGAATTAGGTCGAGGCCCACCACAACCCCTTTGTGAAGTACACTGCCGCATTAGATGATCGGGATCTCCACAAGTAAAACAAAATCTCTGACCTGGGAACTGTTGTGTGGACCCTGAAAACCCACTATAATTTCCTCGCCCTGTAGGTCGCTGCTGTGAACCGTACGAGCTCTGACCCGAGCTATAAGAACCCTTAGATGTCTGGCCACCCTCAAATGTCGGCATAGATGCATGAATAGGTCCCCGCTGCTGAAAAGAACCACTCACTCTCTGTGATCCCCTACCTCCAGATGAGGCACCATGAAACTGTCCTGATATACGGGCCCTTTTAGGGTCCCCAAACTCCTCTCTCTCCATCAATTCTGCCTCTTTGGCGGCGCTCACAATGGACTGAAAAGAAGTCCCCTCCCTAGATGTCCGAAACACAGCTGACCTGATAGAGAAAGTCAATCCCCTCACAAATCTGCGAATCCTCTCTGTCTCATTTGGAATAATGGCCAACGCATGCCTAGACAACTGGCAAAAACGCACCTCATACTCTGTAACTGATAAACCATCCTGTATCAGACTCTCAAACCTCAAGCGACTCTCCTCTTTCACGCTCCATGGGATAAAACGATCTTGGAATGCACTAGCAAACTGCTTCCAAGTCACTGGAGGAGATCCAACTGGCAAAACCCCCGAATAAGTCCTCCACCAGTCTCTCGCTGGTCCACGAAGCTGGAGTGTAACATATCTAACCCCATGTGACTCAGCTAATCCAACCACCTCTAGTAACTCTCGGCAGGTAGTTAGAAACTCATGAGCGTCCTCGCTCTTCCCACCCTGAAACTGAGGTGGGTCCATCTTTCGAAATCTCTCATACCTACGCTGCTCATCCTCTGTCAGAACAACCATAGATGCAACTTGACCCCCAACTGCTGGTGCAATATCATTATGAACCGCGGGATCTACTGGTAGTTGCCCCACCGCATCCTGAGCAATCGGAGCTTGTTGCTGCTCTTGGGTCTGAGCCCCCTCTCTAGTACGAGAGTCATGTGGTGTGGTAGTTGCACCACCACCCTGAGAAAAGCCCTCTAGCAAACTTAACACCCTCAATAGCGTATCCTGAAGCAAATGTGTGACTATGGGATCTGGAGGAACCTGGTCCTCTCTGTCATCAATCTGAGGTTCGGTAGAGACCTCTCTAGCACTACCTCTCAATGGTGTTGCTCCACGTCCACGACCTCTGGCTACTGTCGTACTACTAGCACGACCTCTAGCTCGAGATCTACCCCTACCCCTAGCTGGGGCCTCAACAACTGCCTCGAGAAGTGCCTCCCCTCTACCACCAGTAACATTAGTTCTAGTCCTCGTCATCTGTCAAAAAAAGTATACAACAACTCAGTACTAACGAAGGTAACTAAGCACGATGAGAAAGAATGAACAAAAGGAAGTTTCCTAGTAATCTTTATAGCCTCTTAGAGATGAGTACAGACGTCTCCGTACTGATCCTTGAGACTCTACGTAGACTCGGCTTGTATACACGTGAGACCTATGAACCTGGGGCTCTGATACCATTTTGTCACGACCCAAAAATGGGTGTGATGGCACTCGTCTTATCCCACCAAGACAAGTCAGCCTAAAACCAAATATCTAACAAAGTGCGGAAGTAAATGACAATCCATCTACAATTCCTATTATGAAACCAAGTCATATTAATTCAATCCCCAAAATCAGGTTGTCACATGCACAAGCCTCTAATATAAATATTAGAATTGAAATAAAATAGAAGTCTAACATGAAGTTGTCTTTCAAGTAAAAACAAAGTCATAAACTGGAGTAGGAAAGTTCGCTGAGATGACAAGCAGCTACCTCACAATCCTCCACAAGATGCCTCGGAAACGAAAAGAATGACAGGTATCACGAAGATCCAGGCTCGTATCCTACAAAAATTTGTAGAAGCAAGGAGTGAGTACCAAACCACGCGGTACCCAACAAGCAAACTTCTAAACACAAGTTAAGTGAACAAAATATGGGCACTTCTTACACCATATCTAAACCTCTATGCTACAGTCTAATAGTTTACAGTTTACCAAACACACGACTCAATAACCACACTCCATCAGTTTACACATTCTCAATAACAACTCAATATTCAACAGTCACAAGCTTCACAGAGAAACACTCACAATATCAGCAAAACACGTGTTCAAGTTCATCAATAATAAAATGTGTAATGCCATGAGATGCAATGTCAAGTATAGTGATGCATGTCTTCCCTAACGATACACACCCGCTGTCTCTTAGTCCGGGACCCATGGGGGACATATCTGTCCATGCATCTGTCGCGACGCACGACACGACCCTCGATAATAGTAACCTTCGCGGCGCGTGATACGTCCCTCGAAATATAAAATCCATCGCGGCGCGCGATACGATCCTCGAAAATAGTACATCATCCTCTTACCACAACCATGTCTCAGATAAAATGCAAATGACATGCTCAAATGAAAAGGAGGAGAAAACCATTTGATAACAAAGCACAATTTACAACAAGAAATACAACACCAACAAATAAACATCAAGTCTCCAAATCATTCTCAACATCACACAAGGAAATACACGAATTTCGTACGCTTAACAAGAGTTTAGAAATCCACTTGCCTTAGTCAATCGAATAATTACTCTTGGACTTGAGCCTTCCCTTTCCGTTGAGCTTCCGAACCAATGGAATCTATTCAAGTATATATTTACAATAAGGTTTCGGAACTAACAATACTCGAACTTTTATGTGTTTAATCTTAACCTAAAAATTCACCCAAAATTTATAATCAAGTTCGTAATTCTTGATGCCAACTAACATTTCAACTATCATATTTTTCAATTTCATAATTCGAATGACACTCACAAAATACCACTCATCTAATAATTAAATATCTATACTAATATATCAAAACTTAAATCATAATATAATAATCAAAACTATAAAAATTACACCTGAATAAATTCGAACAAAAACGTTGCAGGATTATTATTTTTTTTTCTTTTCAACACCCCTTTATTCCAATCTTATGATTGGCTCATCACTATACATTCAAATCACATTCAATTCTGTTCATACATTTCCAGAACAATGTACAGACTACTTTAACTACATACAACCATTCCCCTTAAATTATTTTTTTCATTCCATATTTCCATCAAACCTTATTATTTTATCCAATTGTTAACTTCATTGACTTCTTTGATTCAAGCCACTACCTTATTTCACTTAGCCTCCAAAATTTGATGACAAACCATAAAGGAATATAATAATAATTATAAGGTTAACACCGCCTCTTGTCCCTTACATATTTCAAGCCGCCAGAACGTGCAATACAACACACTATAAGTCTTCCTCATTCCCACTTTGAATTTAATACCACAAAGACACTAATATAATAACATTACATATTGGTTAGTGTTCTTAGGAGATTTAATAATTCTCAAAATTTCTCTAGGACCTACGCTAATAAATTGTCCCTTTTCCAACATACCGACAGTACACTTCAAATTTTCAGAAATCAAATTATCTAAATTATTAAATAAATACATTGAAAGGGAGAAGCTTTGATTACCTTACCAATTCATTCAATATTTTCCTTCGTTATTTTCTCTATAGCCGCCAGTTCTCTCCTTGTTTCAATAGCAAATATCAGTTATTTTTTTTCTAAATTACTTATGTTATTAAAATTAGCACTCCTTATTAACCTATATTAATATTTCAGACTTGACCCATTATTATTAAAATTAACTAAATTACCCCCAAATTAATTAATATAGTTAAACGACTATTCAAAATTATCAAAAAAAAATAACTTTCGGGTCCGAGTCATTACATCAATGCTCTAAATAGAATGTATGTATATACATATTCTTTAGTAACTTAATTTCTACCTACATAAGGAAAAGAAAAGTTGCAAGAATCAAACCTACATTTTATTGAGTAGAAAACTTCCACAAATAATACCATTAAAATATAAGTTAAAGTTTTATACTAAGCTAAAATTATTAGTTAGATGGACTTTATATGTGTTGATGAGTTGTTGGAGTAGAATTAGGTTTGCAAGACCATCCTTGAAGGCGTAAAAATCGATAAAACACAACTCCTGCAACAGCTCCTATGATTGGGGCTATAACATATATCCATAAGTTATTAAATTTCCATGCAACAATTGCTGGTCCTAACGATCGTGCTGGGTTCATTGATCCTCCTGAAACGGGGCTGCATTTCACAATCGAACAAAAATATATAAATCGTACCATCTTATATGTACGAGTTTTAAGTATAACGTATATTTATAAAATCGTATATGACATGCAATGGTAAATTACCCTGAAATTAGGACAGCCAATCCAATGGCCACACCAACAAGAAATCCAGATAATGGTCCTGTCTATAAACGATAAAAATATTTAATTTAACACTTAATATAAGTATCGAAAAATCAAAAAATATTTTTTTTATAGGGTTATCTTACTGATTGAGGATCATAATTTGTCAATGATGCACTTAGGAAGAGAACAATGAAGGTTGCCAAAAGCTCCACAAAAAATGCTGAAGTGCAACTATGTAGAGGTTTTGTTGTCACAAATTCTGCTTTTAATCCATACACCAATTTTCCTGTATATGTAGCCAATATTGAACCTCCCACTTGTGCCACTACATAAAGTGGAACCTAAAAAAGATAATTTTAGAAAATAAGAACCTAAATTCAAAATTAAGATACCTTGATTAATTTTACTATAACAATTTAACTTTTTGACTATTATTGTCCTTCATTTTAACTACCATGACTTCAAACATTCAATCTTTTAATATATATATATATATATAGTTATCTGATATTCAGAATCCTTAAAATATCGCTCAATTAATTCAGATTTGCATTGTGTAATAAATCCATATAAGGAAAACATTTCCTACTATTGATTTCTTTATTCTCGGGCTCAAATTTGAGACCACAAGGAAGAAAATGAAAATGACTATTATAAGAATCTGAAAAACTTAAAAAGAGTTGCAAACCTTGGACCATGGAAAATGTCCAACAGCTGCAAATGCTAAAGTGACTGCAGGATTAATATGAGCCCCAGAGATAGGGCCAATAGAGAAGACTACAACTACTACTGTTAGTGCTGCTGTGGTTGCATATTCCATAAGTCCCACTTGCACTCCCATTATTTCCATGCTTGCCATCATACCACATATACAAAACATTAGCAAAAATGTCCCTAATGCTTCTGCCAAAACCTACAAAAATTATCCAAAATAATTGAGCTTTTCATTTGGTTAACTATACTTGCTGTTTTCAAACGTGCATTGGCGAAGCTAGGAATTTCTCTGAGCATGTTTAATGTTTAATATACATGTATAGAAAGGATGTTCAATTGTCACTCTATATGTGGATCGTCATTGGCATGCACCTAATACTTATATGTTAGATCTGCATGGTCAATGGCGTAGCCACGTCAGTAAAGGATGGTCAGATCAACATCCTTGGTCCAAATTTATATTGTGAATATAGAGAAATGTACAAAATGTATGTATATAGTTTTTCAAAAATAGTTATTTTATATACATATAAATGTTAAAAATTTCTGAATACATCGTTAAATCATGAAGTGAGGAGAAATTAACGATCATGCTAACCATACGAAGGAAGATTGGATCAATTCCTAGTATTGAGTTGCAAACGTTTCTCCTCTCCAACATCTCTACATTGCTTGATGTGGTCTCTTGATCATATGTAGATTGTTCACTTGCTGATGCATCAACTTGAAATTCGACGGATAAACCATTTTCGTAAGAAGGCAATTTCATGATCATTTAACTAATAATATCTCCCTTTGTGTGTTGTGGACATGAAAAAAAGTAAGTTTAATTCATAAGTTGCATAATGAATCGTTTATAAAGTAATCAAATAATTAATGCAAGGTAAAGATGATGTAAAATAGATAATTTATCGTTAATTCATTTGTTATATATTGTAAGTTTCTTAGTATAGTTTAATAATCTTTTAAGTATATAAGAAGGTGCAAGTTCAACTGAAAAATCAACACACTTTTCTTGTGTCACTCCCAAAGTATGGAAAAGGTTGTTCATGCATTTTAGCGTGTCCATTATTTCATTTAAATAAGCCTTTGACTTGTTATTATCATAAGATTACACGTTTAAACTCTTTAAGATTTTTACTTACTCGATTATTTATCACAGGAGAGAACAATACATTAATATAAAAGCATTAACTAAGTATTAAATCAAACAAGTTATATCGATCAAGATTATATTGTTTGTCACCATTCTTGTTCCCACTCATATTTTTCCCTTCTCCTATCTTATAAAACCTAACCACACCTAATGTCATTTCATTTACCCAAGATATGATCGATACATTTATAATGCCTAAACAAGGGAGGAGATTGTATTTTATATATATATATATATATATATATATATAATTACAAATTAGAAGAGAGAAGTTAGTATTACGAAGTCAAACCTAGTATAATATTTTTGATATTATCCAAGAAATTAATAATGACACTTTCTCTTAGACAATAAATAAATAAAGGGAAAAAGAACAAATATGTGCAACCGAGAGTAATTGAGATAGGTGTTTAGCCGAACAAAATTATGTTGGGAGCACCACCCTCAAATGGGTCCTGCAGTGCGTAATTCGAATTTAGTTGGAGCTCTAATGTGGGCTCCGAACACCGGGTGGGAAAAAAAAACCAAAAAAAAAAGAAGAGATAGGTGTTGATAGGATTTAACGCGGGAAACAAAAAAAAACCAAAAAAAAAAGAGATAGGTGTTGGTAGGATTTAACACCAACGAGCATAGAAATGAAAAAAGGAACATGAAAACTTCAAAATCAAAATAAAAAGTTCATGATGTTTTTTCGTACTCAGAACATGATGTTTGTTGAAGTTTGAGTGAAGAGCTAAAACCTATCTTTTCTTCTACAAGGTCAAATATCAAGAGGTTCTCTTCCAATTGATATCCTCCTATATCAATTGATGGTGCCCTTGTTTGATCTTGTCCCTCAAATGCTAAACAAATAGCATCCTTATTAACTTGTACCACTGAATTTGATCCATAAATTCTCCAAAATGCACTCTTCTTGTGAAAAACAATATCAATCACAGGAACATCTGGTCCAACATTTGTGTTTCTAACGTTTTTTGAACTAAAGCAAAGTCCAAATTGTTTCGTAGGAGGCTCTACAACTGTCACATTCTTAGAAAGCGCGTTGATGAAAGCAGTTTTAACAGCATCATAAATGGTAGTGTGTAAAATTGTGAAAGGTGTCGTTGTGCTAATTCTTGTTCCACCAACTCCTTGCTTAGTTTTTAACATTGTTTTATTTAGTGGTACATTTTTTCCCGCTATTCGAATGGATGAAACTTTGACATGGTACTCTGAAAACTTTGAAGTGGTAAAGGTATTTTTGACTAGTGGGGTGTATACAAGATTCTTGGAGATATCAATCATAGAATTGTAAACATTATATGAAGTAGAACCAATGAAAAAACTCCACTAGATTTTTGTAGATGAGCTCAAGCAAATACCAAACTTTCTACTGAATTTTGAGTCTAATGAAGCAAGTTGATTAGGAATGGGAATTGTACTATTGTGTCCAAAACCTGCAATTCCTGTGATTGAGACATAATATAATAAAGAAGTGCTTTCATTCAAAAGGTTAAGACTTTTTTAGATGGGGATCAAAGTAGGCAATAGGTTACTAACTCAAACTGTTCGTCTCAATTTATGTGGGACAATTAAAGTTTTGAGAGTTAACTAAATTTTTCTTTCATCAAAATTTATTTATATATGTCTTTTAGATATCTTATGTTGTTAATTAGTTATGGGAATCTATAGTATTTTTACGTAGTATTGATCAAATCTATAAATTTTATTTAAAAAACTTAGAACTTCTATATATCTGAATTCACGGTCAAAGTTTAAAAGTTTGAAATCTCAAAATTCTAAGTATGCCACATAAATTAAGACAGAAAGATTGAGTATCAATTATTATGAATAATTAAAAGGTATTTTTTTAGATGAGACAGTCACAACAGTTGAATACCTGTAATTCCTTTGGCAGAGATGTGTCATTATAAAAGACCTAATGCAAGTGAACAAAAACCTTAGCTGAGATACAAGGACGACTGGCTTTGAACCAATGGCCAACACATCCTCAGCAAGTTCTACACCAGTATAAGTATCAATAATGGGATTTCCATCAAAAGTATGGCAAGTATAACTTTTGTTTGAGTTTTTTTTTTCGTTTATTCCGTTTGACATTGAGTGTGAAACACTATAATGACTCCATGTTTTATTATTGTTAACATAATTAACTATGTGGAAATTGTGACCCAACTTTCATTTTGATTTGATATTTTTTTTGTTTATAGCGGTTGACTTATAATGACTCCATATTGACTTTGAATTAAATGTAGTCAGCATGATGCAAATGAAAAATATCAAATAAACCTCTTTATAATCATATCATTTATGTTCTTTTAAAGTTCAGAAGAAATTAGGTGTGGAGTCATGATTAAAATAAAAATTATTAGGTTTAATAGTTATGTTACGTTCCTACTATTATTTTCATTTTACTTTGATTGAATATATAGACTAATTTTTAAATTTGGGTTCAGAATTTTGACATTTTAATCGATTTCGTTCATTTGGCACTACGTTTTTTAACTAGTTACTATTTCCTTTTTTAATTTATAATTTCACAACAATTATCAAAATATTACAAGTGACTTATAATTTTAATTTGTAATTAGTGCCATGCACAATTCATTTGTTTGTATCCCTCTCTCTCTTTCTAGATGTTTAGATCTACTTTAATAATTAAATACCTACTACTTTGGATTTATAATTGTGTATGTAATGTGATTTGTAAGGATAGAGAGTTTATTTCTATGGTATTTGAATCTCTACGAGCTGAATAATTCAAAATACTTTGGATCGATGTATGTTTGTGCATGTGACCCACACTAATGGTTTTTGACATAATAATAGGATTATCCTTTCATCATTCCTTTTCTTTCTTCGTTTGAACGATATTATGATCTCTGGATAGGCAATATCTATTGAGTTAATATTCATCAATTCTTGACTTCTTAAATGGATAATAAAATAATGTCACTTGGCCTCTTGGCTATTATAGTAATACTTAATGCTCCTTCCGTTTAAAAAAAAATATTTTTCTTAGTCTATTTAAAAAAGAATAATATCTTTTTGGTAACAAGTGATATGTTTAATATAAGGTCACATGATTAAAGGATAATTTTGAACATTTAACGTAACTTTAATTTATGACCATATTATCAAAAGTTTTTTTATTTTTTCTTAAACTCTGTGAAAAGTCAAATTAGACTATACTCTATATGAAGAAGCTCATTCTCCTGTAGGAATATTATCTATTTTGGTCTTGTATGGTTGTAAAAAATTGTAACACACTTAGCTAGAGCCGTTGGAAATCTAAAGAAAAATACAAACAGTTATTATAAATTCCAACGAGCACAGTACAGAGAAAACACAATAAGAAATGAAAAACTTTGAAAATAAAAATAGGAGTTCATATATCTGTCTTGTGTAATTAAGAAGTTTCAACATGTTAACTTTTAGAGGCGTGTTCGTACTTAGAACATGATGTTTGGAGTTCAAATACCAACAAGTTCTCTTCCAATTGATATCCTCCTATAACAATTCGATGGTTTCCACGTTTGGTCTACTCCAACAAATGCTAAACACATAACGTCCTTCCTAACTTGTACTACCGAATTTGCACCATAAATCCTCCAAAATGCTCTCTTCTTGTGGAAGACAAAATCTATCACAGGTCCAACGTTTGTGCTCCTTATGTTTTTGGAACTAAAGCAAGCTCCAAATCGCTTCATAGGAGGATCTACCATTGTCACATTCTTAGGTAGCGCATTGATGAAAGCAGTTTTAACTACTTTGATAAATGCTAGTGTCCAAAATTGTGAAAGGTGTTGTTGTGCTGATTCTTGTTCCACCATGTCCTTGATCATTAATAAATAACAATGTTTTATTAAGTGGCACCTCTTTTCGTGCGATTCGAATGGACGTAACATTTGACATGGTACTCCATAGGAGTCAAAAAGTCCATGGAATTTCCAACTAGTGGGGTGTATGCAAGATTCTTGGAGATATCATTGTAAACATTATACGGAGTAGAACCGACGAAAATAACTCCACTAGATCTTGTAGAGGAGCTCAAACAAATACCAAACTTCCTGCTAAATTTTGAGTCTAATCAAGCTATTTGATTGGGAATGGAAATTGTACTGTTGTGTCCAAAACCTACAATTCCTGTTGTGGACACATTACATGGTCAAATTAAGATATATCTAAAGATACAACTGATGCATAACATATATGATTGAATACCTGTGACTCCTTTGGCGAGATGTTTCATCATATAAGACTCAACGCAAGTAAAGATAAATCTTCGCTGAGAGACGAGGACAACTGGAGCTGTTCCAATTGCCAACACATTCTCAGCGAGTTCTGCAACAAGAGTATGACATGTATTGTTGTTGCATCCAGGCTTAGGTTCTGTTAGGCAGTAGTCTCCATAGGCATCAAACTTAACCTTGGCAAAAGAACATTGTTTGGACTTACATCGAGTCGGTTTGTAAGTTGAGCTAGTGTAACCACTTTCACAGTCCGCCACCAAGGTGGACTGTGAAGTTTAAAGGTATTCTTTGCCCTATTACCGTAATGTATTGTAGGGTTAATGAGTCATTGGTGACCGGAAGGATTAGGATAGTAGGTAGTTCGATAGATGAAC